AGCTGTATCCCTTTGGCTTTGGAAATACAGGACCAATGGGGCCAATTGTGGGACCACAGCTTCCAGTAAGATTCTGTTACAATTTATTATATTTAACCATACAGGCCACCCACAATACAGCTGAAAAAAACTTTTAAACTTCTCCTAGAGACCCATAATAGGAGTCTTACTAGAGCAAACACAGTGCACCAACATGTTTATGTTGCTGGTATAATAGTTACTTCTTCTATTGAAAGAAATGTAAGCGTAAGTGAATACTTTGAAGTAGTTATGTATGCTGTTTTCATTTAATAATAATTTTTGTCTCAGAGTAGATTTGTTTTAGCTAAGTCTTTAAAAAATATTGAATGTTTTCGTTTGTAATGGTTTATCTATGCTGTGTGTGGAGATGCTAGTAAAGGAGATAGATATTATTATTATTTGTATACAGACTGTCAGAATACCAACAGAGTCTCTCACCAGAAATACTGTACCTGTATCATTTCAGGCTCTTGGGACCCAAACAGAGCCTGAGAAGGAGGATTAGAGATGTGAGTAAAACATTTATTTTATAATAATTACAATTAGTGGGAAGTTTATTCATTATTTAGAAGAATACACTGCATACTGCAAACAGATAAAATATTTGAATAGTAAAATCCCTCTTTAAATTTAACCTAAACAGTAACTATTTAAATTCTTGATTTAAATAATTCACCCCTTTCAGTATTTTGTAACTAATGAGCGTCTTTATTTTTTCTTTTTTAGAATGAAGACCCAGAATTGACTACTTTGATGCTGAAAAATATTAACAAAAAATGTTATGATGCTTTCATTTATCTTAGTAAAATTGTGAAATAATTGCAGTGCTTCTTTTATCTATAGAATAATAAAAAAATGTTGTAATTTGCATGTAGTTGTAGTAATGTACTGTATCATTGATTCCTTAGGTATGTGAGTGGGCTTCTACAGTATGTTATAATTGAAGATAAGATCAATTGTTTTATTTTTTATGACACACATATCTGACATCGCTGAAGTCGCTGGTTTCATCTAACCTGATTAATACGAATTGAACAAACACTAATCTGGGGTTAAACTGTTAATGAAAATACTGTTTGCAATTCTAATCAGAATATTTGAAACTAGCATTAAATGTATTAAATGAAAAGGGCATTATCACTAATCATTTGTCGCGTTCCATTTAATCACTATGTCATCAAACTTGTCAAATTCAAAATGAAAATGGTTTACAAAATTTCAGTATTGCAGAAACTTTAAAATGAACCATGTTTTATAATGTTGTTTAATTTGTGTTATTAAATACTTAAGATTCATCAAATACCTGTCTGCTTCATTATTTTCACTGAAATCATTAGAATAGATATTATTAGAATATTAATTAGTCATTTTACCATGGAGAGCCATCAGACATTAAATTGTTTCTTGTCTAATAAGATTTTTGTCTAAGGGATTAAGTCATCAGTGATCTATGTGGTGTGCGTAGTTACTATGTAAACTAATACGTTACCTATTAAAAAGATTTTTTCCAATGCCTTATTAATTTAAAGAAGTAATCACTTATACAAGTATCTTGTAACTATGATGGATTTCTTTCCCAGACACTCCTGTCTCAGTCTTGAAATCATTGAGCCTTAATGTCCACTTTGTCCACTTGAGTCACTCTCAATCTCAGAAACACCAATGGGGTTTTAGAGACTAAAGAGACTCTATTGTGTAACCTGTGGTTCTGCTAGTCTGTTTAAAATGAGGAGGAACCCATTTGGCAGTTAAGAGCTAACTGATTCAAGGATCTAAACCAGCCATTTTCTTAAAGAACATGGCTGGGAAACTGAGTTATTAAATACTCCTATCTACAGTAGGTCTCCTCCACAGAGCAAGACACAATACCCAAATTGAGGGAGACCAGGGGTCTAATCTGGGAGTGTAATCTGAAGATGCAGCTGATCCTCTATTTTTCATTCTGGGAGCAGTCTAGCGCTTCAAGCTTATTTAGGAATTGTAAGAAGGACACCAGGAGTTTGGGATTTTATCAGCGTGAGTCTGCAGTCCTGCTATTACGCCAGGAGTATAGTATCATTCCAGCAGGTGCCTGCTTATTCATATTACACACCCCTGACAAGCATTTTGTCTATCAAAACTTTTATTGTTAATATTTACAAAATGTAGTGCTTCACTCACCCACTGAAAGACACCATTGCAGAGGGAAAAGAGCACAGGCCGGGGTGTGAGTTGCTCTGGGATAACGTCTCTTAAGGTTACTGGACAAAATCTCCCCAACCTGCCATGATGTTATCCCCTAACAACACGGAGCCTGTACTGCATTCGTCCTTCAAAACCGTCTCTATTTGCAAACTGACTTTTCAGGTTGTACCTACTGTAGTTTTGCGACCTCGTTCAGAATTTCATTATGGACCAACAAATGTAATTTTTATTAAAAGTGGTACAAATCGCACAAACAACAGTAGTTGCTACCCAGGGAGTTGGACAGTACGTATTAAACAATGATGATGGATTTGTCTGTAGTGGTCATAGTGGAGTTTTAAAAAGCGTAACGCTGGAATAAAAAAGAACATGTTAACTGTGAGACAATTTTCACAGCAAACAAACCTTTTTGCCCCTTAATTTTACTTTATTACCATTATACAGTAGTTATGATTAGAAAAGTGAGAAAAAGATTTATAATAAATTTGCTAATATTTTTACTTCCACATCAATATTATAAAGTCAAGATGTGGAAATAAAAAAGTGGAGACAAATTAAATTGTAGACTTGAATTTGATGTAATGATGATGTAATGATGTCTCTAATGAGTTAATGTTGTCTGGGGTTTCAATGAAACGTGCTAAGTTGATATTGGATGACCATATTGCTTTTTGCTTTGTTAATTGAATACCTGTAAAAATAAACAAAAACAAAATGCAAGGGTAACATATGTTGCATTTTAAAAATGTTACATTGGCTTCTTACTGAAAAAAAAAATTTTGCCAACAAAATCTGAACCCTCAAAAACCAAGACTACACTGGGTGTTATCTGAGCAATGTAATACAATATTTTATCACAGCTCCTGTTAAGAAATATGTTTGGAGACACAAACTGAGCTAATACTAAGGAACCAATTTTGAAATTAAACAGAATGCTTAAGTTATTATTATTGTTGTTATTATTATCATTATTATTTTTGCATTTCAATAACCATATACTGTACTGTACTTTCTTATTTTTAATGCCTAAATAATTTCTGAGAATTAGCGATTGAGATCACACACTGTTTGCTATTATTTAATATCCCATACTTCTATGCATGTACAGCATAAATTAACAATATCCATACAGTATATATGAATATATTCAGAAGTATCTGAAGAAAAGACGTCATCAGTTCATTTATCATGATCTGCACTTTTAAATAGTTTTTAAATAGTATTTTCAAATTAAATGTTTTTTTTGTTCCTAAAAAACAGTACTGTTGCACTTCAAAGAACATGAACAACAAGCACTTAAAGTGTGGTGGGGGAGACACATCCAGGTGTGTGCACATGTCCACCACCAACCACTGGAGACAGCAGCTCTGGGACATTCAGTGAGGCACAGCACATGTAGGCCCGGTATTTAGTCTGGATTATATGTTTTGTTCTGGCTTCCATGCCTAATCACAAACTCAGAGCATCTATTTACTGTAGACATATAATTTTATATGTTACATGAAGCTCAAAATTGTAAACTCAGCCACCCTAATCTAATTACCTTCTGCTTTACGGTGTTGCATTTACAAATTTAATTGAATTCTGCATTGATTGTAGCCTTAGTGGATTTTAGATTTTGTTTCCAAATCTGTAGTTATAAATCAACAACAGAAATCGCCATCAATTTCTTTATTTTGCATTAGTTTCATGTAAAGTAAATGATCACGTGTTTTCATTTAGAATGACAAAACATGACAAAAATTGAATTTTAGCATCATAAAAAGATGCTTTTCAGGACCAGAGGAGATGTGTAGATTTATTAAAGAATGTTTGTATGACATCTAAATAACTTCTAAAATTTGCACAAGCAACCAGAAAAAAATCCTTTATCTGAATATATTTAACTACATTAAATATTTTCATGTTTAATTAGTAGAACATCTGTTGAAATGGTCACTAGGTATTTGCGAAGATTTAGAAAGAGCTTTTTACAAATACTCCAAAAGTTGTATTAATTAAACATTTACCTATAAAAATGTTTTAGAAGCTTTGTTAGCTCTTACATTGTATTTGCAGTTTTCTATATTGCTACAGTGTGACTCATTAGTGTACAACAGGTGCACTAAAAATACCTTTTATAATCATGAAGGGAAATAAAGCTTAGAACAAATTCACAGTTTAGGTTCTTACTTAATTCTTATTTTACAGTTCTTACTTTACGTTCTCACATCACATGTGTATTGATTTAAGTAAACAAATGTATACATTTCCTCAAGCCTATTAAACAAATATACTTTGTTTGACTACAGAAATATATTTACACATTGTAATCTTAGGTAAATTTAGTCTGGAATAGGAACAGTAATTATCTCCAACTGGACTTGGCTTACAAATGTTCTGAAATTCAAGTCTTTGGAAATAACGACTGTGTTCATACTGTACTGTAATAATCATTACACAAATAAATCATTCACTTATCTGGGAGATTATACATCTTGTTTTACTTCACATTTTAAAAAATCATGTATTACAACCCTATGCAAGCTGAAGATTTAGACGTGAGAGGAGTTTGCCAGGGTGAAGGCTTTATTTTTTTTCAATTTTATGAATAGTAAGTGTAAAATCCTACAATGAAAAAACAGATTACTATGTAAGCAAAAAAAAAAGTACTGTTATAGGCATAATTCAACACTCTGTGATTAGAAATAATTAAAGAGGCTGCAGGGCAGTCAGTTCCCCAATGTAATAAGAAAGTGTAGGCGTGCGTAAGTGATGTCAACAACAGCACACAAACCTGTGATTGGCTAGCTGCTCAGAGGTTTCAGTATTTAAATGCAGCAACTTTCCGCTAAATCTTCACACTTCCTTCAGCTTCTTCGGAGAGCTTTTATTCTGAGGAGTCACCAAGGGTAAAGTACGTTTTTAAAAACTTATTTTCTTATTTCTATTTAAATACATGGGATTTGTTCTCTCCAAGAAAGAAGAAGGCAGACTATGTGTCTTTCAGCCCGCATAGGATTTTGGAGCTAACACTCTTTAAGGGTAGTTTCTGCCAAACATACAGCTGTTCAGGAGATTTGGGGCACAATGAATTTACACTTACCAGTCAATGTTAATACCCGTACTGGCCCTACCAGAAACATTCACGTTGAAGATTCTGACTGTTCTTCTTTAAATTATTTACCGTACATAACTTTAATAAATTAATTTTTTGAGGGATGTCTCTGGCAACAATTACTTCTCTAGTTTTCTAGAGTGTTTCAATTAGAACTTCAAATGACTGGTGTCCAGTCCAGGGTGTACCCTGCCTTGCGCCCATTGCTGGCTGGGATAGACTCCAGCTCCCCTGCGACTCTGTATAGGGTAAAGAGGTTAGAAAATGGATGGGATGGAAGTTTTGTTTCAATTACTTTAAGATGTACAATCTAAGCATTACAATAATTATAATCAAAACCGAACACTGTTTTCACAGGTGTTAATTACAAACATGAAGACCATAATTTTGCTCACCTGCCTCTTTGGCAGCATCTTTGCAGCACCAGTAAGTACCGGTATTCAGAATGCGCTGAAGTAAACAGATGTAAATATTTACCATTTCACTTAAATGACTGCAGAAAATATAACTAATGTGCTTATTAGTATACTGTAGGTTGCTAATTTCTGAAACTGAAAAAGAAAGGACAGAGACGTAAATTTCTGAAATGTGTAAATGGGTACTACTGTACAGTATGTGACTACGTTAAATTTATGTTTACACATAACATTTACTTGAGAAAAACAAAGCAATGGCTACATGCATGGCTAAGAATAAATATTTCAGGCAGAAATGTAAATATTTAAAGGTTTTTGTGGAGTGAGATTTTCTTTTAGCTGTCTTTTTAGTATTTTATTGTTACGGATTTAATCTGATAATATGGACAACAGAAATAATGTATCAAAATTCCTTTTTTCTTTGTTGTTTTGAAATTTGACAATGTCATTTTGTATTTTATCTGTATGTATATCGCGATGTCTATAGGAACTACAACTTCTAAAGAAATGTTGTTTTTTAAGGTCTCATTTTCTGCCAGTTACAAATATAGTTTTCTTTATAAAATGAAAACTGTCGTTTACAGATGCAGCCTCTTTATGAGTTTCTGCCACAGGTGGAGACACCCCAGCAAACTGCTCCATATCGTCAGCAACCCCAACAGGTGAGGCATACAGCAAGCGTCCCGCAAACAGAGCAAAAAAATAATAATTTCAGATTTATCCAAATTCATTACCTCCTCCTGAATAGTATAGCCCTGAACAAACTCGGAAAAACGGCACCCATATGAATAACAACTTTCCTTCCCTCACAACTGAATTAATCTTCTACTGCATATTCTAGATGTATGTCTTCTCTGAATCAAATAAATTTTATTAAAACAGACAATACTGAATTCTGAAACACCTTTTATTTCTTATGGTTAAGGATCTAATTTGCATTAGTTCCTACACAGAAATTAGTTGTGGTTTGGTCTGATCTCATTTTAAACCTGCCTTAAGACATGAAACAGCTGAGCACCTTATACTACAGTATATGCTGTATAATACAGTATAATAGTATATAATATTATAACTTGATTCCTGGTAATTACATTAAAATTCCAATTTAACTGCTGAATTTTGCTATGCAATAAAACTGATTGATTTGTTTTAGCAGAACAATCCTTATGCTCCACCATCACAGACACCCCAGCAGCAAGGACCTACCCGGCCTGCAAGCTTTGAGATTGTGAGTTTCCTACCATATTTTTCTTTTTCAAGAAAGTGTTATGCCTGACAGATGCTCATGCAGCTTTCAAATCCTAATGCAATTTTTTTTTTCCTTCGCATTCTTTCAACTTTAAATATAAACGTCTCTCCCCCTGTCTGAAATGCAGAACAGAAATAGTCTGGTAGATTTAATCGGTAACAGACTCAGCAGTTATCTACTTGTACAATCTTTCTTAGTCAGCCAGGGAAAGTGATTCTATCACCTCTTTTTGAAAAAGTACTTGGAAATCTAACAGATTCCTTATTTCTGTGCAGCTCTTTCCTTATGGATACTCAAGACCGTCTTTCGGAGGTCCTGAGCATGCTGGGGCAGTAGGTTTCAGATTCTTCTTTTAAATTTATGTCTTTGTCTGTGTGAAATTGTCAATCATGTTTACTTATTGTTTTGATTCCCTTGAAGATGTTCCCTTCCCAGGCATTTATCAGACAGAAGATCCCCCAGCCCGCTGGTAGACAGAGCATTGAAATTGTACGTTTTGGGATTTTTGTTTTTCTTTTAGGGATATTGTTTGTTTTTTTTCATACCTTAGTAGAAGAGTTGGTTCATTTTTTTTATTCCATTTAGCCATTTAGCACCACATAGCCATTTCCACCTGGAATAATCACTGTAATCAAAATACAGCAGTTTTAAAGCTCATGCTGAAGTCTGAATCGCTTATATCAACTGGAATATTTTCATGTAGATTTCTACTTAATGACTGGATATATGAATTACTTGATATGTGTGGACTGCACTGTGCAAGATTACACCTCAGGAACAATAGCAGGGGCCCCTGTGGTGGGGTTGAAAGTGGCTTGAAAAATTGATAAATCTTTTGTTTTCTTCCAGCTCTTCCCCTACAGCTTTGGACAGCACCAGCAGGTACGTTACATCTACATGCTGTTAATTATAAAAAAATATTACAGAGTTGTGTATTGTTCTTGTACCTGTGATAAAGATTGTGGTCACTATTAGATTTAAAGGAAACGGGCTTTTAGAATACAGGATGAAACTCATTTACATTGTTGGGACATTTTCTCAGATTTTGTCCTGACAAAGTCAGCAATACACGCCAACACACACACACACACACACACACACACACACACACGCGCGCCACATAAAAAGGTTCCTGTTCTCTCATACCTGGCTGTGCTGTTGCGTTTACAGATGTTCCCAGGAGCCTCCAACATGCCTCAGCCACCTCAGATGCCCCAGCAACCTCAGCTGCCACAGCTACCCCAGCAACCCAATGTAAATTATTGCTCTTTCCTCCTTTACTGTCCATAGACTCCTAATATTTCAATGCAATACCTCCAGTTTATACTAATGAAACAACATTTTTGTCTTTTTAGATGTTCCCATATGGAAATATGCCCCAGACAGGAGGACCACAGCAGAACCCGAATGTAAGATATTTTGAGATAGTCATGGATTGTCACTCCCTCGGGTATTAAAGAAGAGCAGTAATATTATGTATTTTTTCTTTCCTTTCTGAAGGTGTTCCATGGCTTTGGAAACGTGCCACCAAATGTAAGATACTCGCCGATTTTGTATTCCACTCTGTTAATGGCCGCCGTGGAACCTGACAGATGAGTGTGTATTCATCTTGTCTCTCTGTCCATCCACAGTTGTTCCCCTCCTTCGGAAACCTGCCACACCTGCCCCCTAACGTAAGACCACTGCTTCCTCATGATCTTTCACCGCGGTTGTTTTGTACAAAACTTCAACAAAGATTTCTTCTTGAGTATATACTGTATATATATATACACACACAGCAAGGACAGGCTAGCCAAAATATATAGATATATATTCCTGATATAAATCATGAATCTGCCCATAGAAATGGAAGGCACCCATTAAAACGCATCCACCAAGGGGCCTGTGAAACAGATGTGTCCAGGGTCTGCCCTGGCTTCAGCACATAGCCAGTCCAATGTCCTGTAACACTAACGGTGTGGGTCTCTGGGTTTCCCTGCAGTTTATTCCAAATTTCGGAATACCCCAGCCTGTCCCTCAGGAGCCAACCCAGCCTGTCCAGCCCGTCCAGCCTGTCCAGCCTGTCCAGCCCGTCCAGCCTGTCCAGCCAAGTCAGAATGTAAGGCGATAACTGACCTTTTACTGCCATCCCACTCTTCCGCCTGTGCCACTGTTTGATCGTTTTTATACAGGTGCATTATGAGGTACCAAGAAACCCTCACACATTGACTATCCACGTGTAAAGTGCTCATGTCACCCATGCGCGCCTAAAATAAATATACAGTATTATTTTTCACTTGATGTCTGTGTTTATTTACTGTCTTGTAAGACGTGAATCCAAAAGTATTTGTCTGAGAAAATAAATGAAAAACACATTTGCTCTTTGTCGGCCAGACCCATTGCTGTGCTCTCACGTTGCTTTGGACTGCTGTGTGTAATTCGATTTTTTTTTTTCATTACAGACCCCCGTTGAGGAACAGGATTAATACCGTAAGTAATCACCTAAGGCCACGTTATGCGAAATTAACATGACATGTTTTACATTTTAACATGAAAAAACTGCTATCATTTTTTTTCTAAATTGTTTAAATACCTTTAATGAAAAAGCATTTCCTGTTACCTCCGTTCAGTTTAAACATTTCCCTGATGATTGTTTTTAATTAAACTTGCACATTTTTAAAATATGAGACCACCTTTGTTGCAAGTAATCAGTCAGTTGTTAAAAACAAAGGTTGACTGTGCCCTTCTTTTCTTACTAGTATAGTCTTGAGTGTATCATTTGGAATATTGTATCTATATCGTCCGATTTACGGAGTATGCTAAACAACCAATCAAAAAAAGACCATTAAAAGATAATGTACACTATGTGTCTCTTTTTTAAGTTGTATCTCATAATATGTTTAAAAAGGGTTTGATACAAAACTACTTTTACGACCATTCTTGGCACAAGGTTGCGATTGTGCAGATGTGATGGCGGAATTCCGAAGGTTTATCAACAGACGTTTTTATTCTTCACATTTTTAAATAACTTTTCGTTCTTGTAGACGGTGTCTTGACCGATATGCTGCGAAGCTGGTCTTCCGACTGATTCAAGATGTTGAAGTGCTTCTACTCGTCTGGCGCGTACACATCCTCGGCTCGACCTCGTATTTTCTTTTCCTCTTGATAATGATTCAAGTAGAAAAAGAAGAATATTGATAAGCAGCCTAGAGCGTCACTGCGTATTTGTTCTGCTTTTAGAATTTAGCTCTCTGTTTAAAAAAAAATAATGTGACTGCTCCTTTTACACGTATGTAACTTTAGAAATGTGACTGAAACAGGAAGTAGTAAGATCTGGAAAGCATGGTCGTTTATAAACGCGCTGATTAACATTAATTTCTTCAGGCTTATTTAATGCTTTTGTGACGAACATTATGTATATGTGAGCAATAGTGCAAAAGCAAATGCGGTCGTTATTTTTTCCATCATGGTGTGTTAAATGTGATAATAGAAATGTCCAGCTATTTAAAAATGTTTTTAAGCTGTTTGAAAAATATGATGTGCCTAGAAATAAAGTTTAAGTCCATCAAAAATGTTTTTTTTTCTATTATTTCTCTTTCGATAACATTCACTAATGCGAAAGTCAGATTCATAAGGGAAAGATACAGTAAATGTTGTTGTAAGGACTTTTTTCTTGAATACACCTTACTACAAACTATGTGTTTGAGGATTAGGGGGTAAGATTCAAAGAATTTTATCCTGTTGTGTGAATTAAAAACACTGGTGTATCTATTAATAAGGTCTGACCTGGGCTTTATTTCAATGACAACTTTCATTTAATCTATAATCTATGTAAATTTAATATAATCATATAATGTGGGACACAGTCTTCAAAGCAAAGCATGTGTACCACATTATAAATTTGAAAACATGGTTTTCAACAAATCCAGAAAGAAGCCTTGAAAGAAACCAGGGTATCGCGTTTAACAACAGGAATCTGTAACTTGTTCCAGACCCCAACAAACAAGTCCCATGGGAAACAATAACGCTGCCGATCCAGAAATATTCCAGTCGGGCCTGAAACAAAAATGAGAAGAGACAGGAGGCTGGATAAGACCAGGATGAGGAAACCTTACTTGCCAGGTCTCTGATCCAAAACCTAGCCCAGCCTAACCTCCGAGATGAGGCAAGAGCAGGTCTTCAGGTGTCATACCTGGCGTACTGGCAGGAAGGACATGAAATGAAGGACCTGGCAAAGATGTTCATTCAGGGCTTCAATGTGGTAGATTTCATCAAAAAGTATGAATTATTCATCTTGAGCAGTTTAGCCAGATTAATTGATGTGTAAAGGTGCTGAAGAGATACAGTAAGACACAGTAAAGCTTGCCCAGTTAATCCTATGCACAACTATTTTGGTGACTTTGTGGTTCCATAGGTACAACTGAAGGATTCCCAATCTGTTTGGTTGGTTGGATTGATATAACTTTAGCCATGTAATAGACAAAAACCTCCAATCAATTTAGCAAATTTGCTATGGGAATTTCATTAAAGAAAAATGAAGGCGTACTCATGACATTTTCTCCCATAACAAAATGAAACATGCTTATGAGAAGGTCCCATTTCTCCACATAATCTCAAAGAGCTGACTGTTTTGTCAAGTTTTAATTAACAATTAATAGTGACTTCCTGTTGTGTTAACAAAACATAGTTTTCTGTGTAGGAGCACCACCAGTAACTTGCCAACACATTCCTTTCATCCAGCAAGCCTGTGTACAAGGAAAACAAGCTAGTTGTTTGGCAGCTAAAAGTTGGGTATGTATTTCTTTGAAAAATCAAACATCTCTGAGTTTGCTCTCTATCAAATTGCACACACAGTAGCTCATGGGCGTGCTATTTACTGTACTGGTGGATTCATTGTGCTGCAATACAAAATAAGCACTATCACAATGCCTCTTCATTAGTAAGACGTTTTACATTCAATAGTAAAATGTGACATGATATGACATGATATGGTAGATATGGAATCAACAAATGTACAGTACCATTGCAGAAATGTGTAGATATTAGATTTCTAAATACGCCTTCAGCTGAAGAGCTCGGTGCCATCATTAAAGTATCAGGGCACACAAGTCTGCCATTTCTCCCTACTTTAAGAATGACTGCCATTCTATTTCTCTACAGGTGCATTTGCACCATTTTCCATTTACACAATGATTAAACTAATGTATAAAAAGTAAAGTGTCTCTATGTTCAGGGACCCACTGGTCTTAGAGCTGAGAGCTTGTTGCATGGTATGAACCTTGTTGCTGAGAGGCGCTGTCATGTTTGACATAGCTTTGCTTTTGTAGTCCCATGAACCTGTGGTACAGACCATGTACTGTAGATGTTGCCACATACGAAACTCCACGTTTTCCTTCACAGTGAGTATCTTCTAAGAATGGAAAAGGCATCTAAATCCCCCTTTTGATTAAACAAATTTCATGGCATACATTTTCTGTGACAGTCAGCAATGGTTTTATTTGTATGTGCTCATGACAATAGTAAGTGAACCTGGGCTTTCAAAACTGAATGTAAGCCCATTAGTCTTTACTGTACAGTATGTGTTAATGTCTTTCACACAATGCATACACAGCAACATGACTAAAACTAGGTTGAATTTAATGGAAGAGGAAAGAGGCAAAGCTGTTGGAAATTGCAAACAGAAGATCATTCTACTTAACTCTCTTTATTTTAATAACATTTTTTTATTATTTTAAAAGAATTAAGGCAAAAAACCTTGACATACAAATATAATGACATCGGAAAATATACAAATAAGTAATGAGTACAACTTCTTATGTAATACAATAATCACAACCTCTTACCATTGTCTATACATTCAAATTCCATCCAAAGGTTGCAGTACATCTCCCCATACTCTTTGAAATTGTATGGTTCTACATCTTTCTTTACTCCCTTTATACACTTCATATATCTAAGCTGTGTCAGGTCATTATAATTACAGCCTTACATCTTACAATGACATTTTGAGGGATCTTTTCATTCTCATATTATAAGAGGTCTGATAATTTGAAAAGCAGTTTTGCTCAATATAAGTCTGACAGTGTGGTATAGTGGCATGGCTTTTAACACACAGTGCTGTGTCCTGAGTTCTGGGCTTGATTCTGGACTGGATGGCTTCTGTACAGGTACTGTATGTGTTTCCTCCAAGTACTCTGCTTTCCTCCTACAGTTCAAATACAGACTGTCCAGGTCAATGGGCATTTCCAAATTTCCCCTGTAGGTGATGTGGAGTTTTAATTTACTGTAATAATTAGAAATTGTGACAGTAAATTAAAACCCCACCTCACCTACAGGTACATTTATTTATGGTGACCCCATGTGAGGAGAGGAGAGTAAAAGAGTAGAGCTTTGCTTTGGGTTGCTGGACAGCTTGCGTTGGTTCTTAGGCAGCTCTGCTAAAATGAGCTTCTTGTCGAACTTCAATCTTTAAAAAGAGTCAGGTGGGGAGAATTTGGTTTGTCCTGGCTATAGCTTGGTTCTTTATACATTTCTAAATTAAATTAAACTTTTGAAAAGAATGTATTCCGATATTTAATGTTGACAAAAACGAAGTGTCCAACAGTCTTTTTTCGTTGATCAGGCGAAAATAATAGTGGGTTCGTCAACGCAAGATTTCTTCTGTTCCAGGAAGAACACCTTGCACTTTATTGACTGCTTGGCATCTCAGAGAAAAGTTCTAAGTCCTGATTCAGACTGCTTGGTTGGAAAAGTCAGATTGCCATTTCAGTTGGAGAGATATTGGGCCAGTGAGTTAACCACTGAAAATGATCTGACTTCTTACTTTTAGGGTACGACATCACAATTTTGATGACTGGCTGAGATGCTATCAGGTTTGGTTCTGGTATCCTACTTGCAGATCCTAATTGGTGGATCTTCCTTTGGGTGATAGATAGTGGACCTTGGCCCCATGGTTTTTTAGAAGAAAAAGTACAGACATGATGGAGCCCATCTGCACTATGCAACAGTATCATTGTACTGTTCAACCTTGATACGGCTTGATAATGGGTCAGATGGGCGCCAGACTGACCAGTCAAGGCAGCACAAAGATTATTGGAAATCTTCAATAACACTTAATTCTAAGTGGAACAATAGGCCTTGTCCCTACACCGCACTTCTGCGTATGTGTGTGAGCTCAGTAATGCAATGGGGTACCAACTAGACTGTATTCCTTCCAAGTGCCTCTGTGCTTGGTGGGCTTGGCTTTGAAAACCCTCCATTTGATTGAGCCATTACTATAAATGGCTGGATGCAAAAATCTGGAGTCATTGGGACACTGAGGCACAATTTCCCAGCCACTGATCGAATTTCCCAAATAAAATTCAAATGCTGAAGATTAGTATCTTCAAACAAGTTGCAAATTGGTGGCTGTTTCTAATTAATAAAATGTGATTCTGATCTTATTGACAAAAATGTTTAAAATACACTTGCGATTGTGAAATATTCTGTGAATGATCAAAAAATCTATCTTTTTCCATTAACAGTGATAGTTCATCAGTTATATGCCCAAGGGGGCATATAACATGTATAATATACAGTATCCCAGGATCTTTGTTCTGTCAACAGAATGATCTATGCACTATGAACTGCATATTCTAAAATAATGTGGTATAGCACTGTGCTTAATGAAATGTTAACTTAAAATGTGAAACAATCTGGAAACTGGAGTTCAAAAGAAAGAAAAAGCATTTCCCTTCATTGTTCTTTCTTCCTCTCAGCATATTTTGAGAGCAGCAGATAATGAAAATGTTGCATGCCTTTTGCAAAGTCTTAACACTATAGGTATAATAACATAGTAACAGTACAGCACAAGCAAAAAGCATCTACTTTTATATTTATTGTGTATGAATTATAGTTATCCCACTGCCAGTCTGTCTTCTCAGACCTATGAAAGAATTTTTGCCTTGTAAGATGTATTGCAAACCCCGAACACAGCAGTTTATGGTTGTTGTTGCTTTTTTTAAAAAAAGTGATTATGTTGTACTGCACGTGTTTAATTAGCAAAAACTACTGTTGTTAGGAAAACAGGCTTTACATGTTTTTCATAACAAATGTTCAAAAATATGAAGTGACTAATAATGAAACACATACTGTATGTCTAAAGGGAGTCCATTTTTAAAACAAATGCAGAAAATGGATGCCTGATTTTTAGAAGATATAGCAATTATCTACACCAACTCTCAAAGAGAGAAAATATCTAAGTGGATAGATGTTGGAACTTTACAGAACAAAAACAAGTCTTATGCAATAAGTAATCTACTTCCTCTTTGACCTAAAAGTTATAACAAGACCTAAAAGGGATAAAATACAATTTCTGTATTTACATTTTTGTTAAAATTTAAACCCACAAAATCACCCACTATTATAATGCATTTATAGAGTACATGTAAGTGGTCTAATTTACCAAACATTTATTTTTAATTTAGAAGATTATGTTAAAAAGATTCCAGATTAATGAGAGAAAAAACTCGAATACTGTTGATCTAAGGCAGAAGTGTTCAATCTTTGTCCTGCAGGGTCAGTCTGCAGGTATTCATTCAGCTTTAAACGACCATTTGCTTAACTGGACCAAATAAAAAACTTCAGGATTAACATCCCATCCTGGGTGCACCCTGCCTTGTGCCCTTTCCAGCGTCTTCTGCAACCCAGAATTAGAAAGAACAGTTAGAAAATGGATGTCAGTTCTTTTAAAGGAGCCTAACCAACCTGCTGGTGTACAAGCCCTGTGGGACCAGCACTGGAAAGACCTGGTCTAGGGGGAAACTCTGTGATTTCATCAATGCCCAAAATGAAAGTGAGTCAATAAGTAAGGCAAAATTGAAGATGAGGTATGCAGTTGATCCACGGGCAATGTGAACAGTGTTTTCCTCACGTGCCCTCTTGTGCCATGACTTCACCAGGTTGTGCAGGCCCTCCTAACAAGATGACAAGATTGCCCGGGTCTCTCAGCCAGTTGTGAACACTACCCTCTGGGGCAGCAGAAACTGGCCAGACGGGCTGTCCTCCATCGCACATTCCCAAGTATTCTTTTTGAGCCCATGCACACCATTCTGTACAGAGTTTTCACTCAGCGTACAGTCCCCAGCAGATTGTGCAGTTATTCCTAGTGAATGTTACAAGTTCGTGACTCTTTCACTATGACAGAACTGGTTCCTTGCTGTCCCATGATGCTACACTTCCCCCTGCATTCTGAGCTAGGCATATGAACATCTACACAACAATTCTTCCTCCCCCTTTGAAAATTTAAATAGCCCTTAAAACATTGACGATTCCTATGTATCGCTCATTCTACTGACATCCTATTCAACTAACTGATGATGCTTTTTGGCCTCACAGCAGATCAGCATATTGTAAGGATGTTCTTTTAGACCTGTGATTAACATCTATTGCAAAATGCATAATTTACGCTCCGCCACCCTTATCAAGAAAATTGTCTTTTGTTTTACTCAGACAAATTTGCCAGTACTTGATTTTTGCAGTTTTAGAGCTGTTAGACATATAGTTCAAGGTATATTAAAAGCTATATAGTAGTTAAGCAAAGTCTTGTTGGCTGAAAAAAATTAGCCTGCAAAAAGTTTCGCAGTAAGCGTACATAATCTCTAGAAATTTTCGTTGTCTACTATAGTACTGAGGCCAGTTAGTATATTAACATCAGACATATTTATACAAATACAAATAATAACAGTACACTTAATTTATATAGCACATTTCACTACAGTGAATCTCAATGTGCTTCACATAAAAATGCTAAAAGAGAAGTCAAGGTACTTAAAAATTACTAAGAAGGAAGAAGAAAGGTAATGAAATAATTTATGCTACTGGATGTTGTTAGGCCTGCAGGTAGAGAAGGGTTTAAGATCTTTTTAAAGGCCACAGTTGAAACTGCTTGTCTGAGATGAGAAAGGGAGGTCACTCTGCAAGTGAGGAACAGAGACAGACAAGGCTCTCTCACCCATAGTGACTAGAAGAACAAGCTCAGCTCTATCAAATTTTGGTAGCTTTATCTCACATTTCATGTGGGTCCGAATTCTGGAGCGATGTAGAGTGTTATTCAGTGAGTGCTGTGTCAATAACGGAGAGCGACATTCTTTTGGGGATTGGTTAGTACATGCAAATTATTTTATTCGCCCTACTTCACTTCTCTGTCCTTAAGGATAGCGTGCAATGTTTGCTGGAATCCTTCAAGAAATGATGAACTCCTTGGATCACTAAGAAACTAGCAATGAATAACAATAATAAACACAGCATAATCTCAACGAGTTTTACAATCCACACAGAGAATATTGCAAATACAAGAAAAGAAAGCAGATACAGAAGCAGAAAAAATGATAAAAGTATGCTTTTAGGCACTACCTAGATATAAGTAATGCATCTGATTCCCTGATTTCTTTTGAAGTTGGGACATACTGTAGCAACTCCATGTCCTGTCACCCACAAAGCGCAGATGAACATATTGAACACACAGCCAGACAGGGGAGACATACTGTATATTGTGGAGTCTTGAAAGTAAGTAGGAGGGTTTTAAAGTGATATTGAAATTGAACAGGAAGCCAGTGCAAGGACCCCAGGAGAGGAGTGAGATGATCCCTTGCACATGCCTCACTCGGGATCCTAGCAAAGGCCAGGAGCAAATTGGAACTTGTTCAGTCTACTTTAAGGGACTCCTGCTTCTTATAAGTCGGGTTTAACTTGCTCCTGCAAATAACACTCCAGTGCCTTCTGTGTTTTTGGTGTTATGCTTTCTCTACAGAGGAAGATAGGAGCTATTATTCCAAAATCGATTGCCAAACCAAACCTAATGGCACTGTAAATATGAACAGAAAGCGTAAACATGAGTTCTTTTCCCATAGTGGAACCAAATGTTTTCCACGCAGCTTAATGCGACATTCACAATAATTACTGGAAATGTCTACAAAATGTATATAAAGTCCGGTATAAAATATTGTGTTATTTTATGATATTTGTTATTCTTTAATTAAACCAGATAAATCCCCTAGAAATAAATTACCTTTTACAATAACAACCTGGAAAATTAGCCACTTACACAGGAGGGCAATTCAGGTAAAGAACTTTGCTCAAGGGTATAACAGCAGCAATCCTGCTGTCTGGTGTGGAGAGCCCAAATCCTTCATTTTGAAACACAATTTCACAGCAATGCACAATCATTATTTCTGCACATATTTCTAGCCTGAGAAAATGGAAAATTAAAAAAATCCCTGCAATCTGAGGAATTGATTAGTACTGTTTCCATTCAACGTGGGTCTGGGAAGCATCTTTTAGCCTCCTAGAAAAGGTAGTTTTGCAGAGTGTAAGAGTCAATTAGACCAACAATGTTTAAGGAAAACACACAGGAACTCATCATTTCCAGCATACTGTTGTAATATAGGGCTCGATAATTGAGAGGGGTGGTTAAATATGGTTTGTATAACCAATTATCTGTAGTTAAAATAAGTATTGACACATAACCGATGCAGAGTGCAAAGACAGTAATCCTTAATATATATTTTTATATTATGCTCACTACAAGCATTTTTATTTGTTTAAAAGATACAAAAATCTTAGGTTTTAGAGTGTTTCTGGTGCTTTGAGCCATTCAAGGGATTTTGTTTACCATATCTCTTCATGCAGGAGATCCAATTGTGTGAATTTTTTTATTGTTGAAAAGCAAAAATCAGTCCGTCCCTAAAAACAAACAAAAAATATTTTTGATTCACTGCCACACATTACATAACATTTACACATCATCCATCGACCGTAGGATGTGGATAAAATGAAGTGCTCTTAAATGGACTAATTAGTGGCAATGGTCATCATTTCCTGTAGGCTAACCAGATCCACAGTCATGAGGGTTAGTTGTTCTTTCTTTTGAACGGCTTGGCTGTTACATCAGTGTTCAACCTGTCTGTAAAGCAAATCGAAACATTTTCTTAATACTAGTTGCAAATATGCATAAAAGTTAGTAAGTGTTACAGACAAAAATGGTGAGTGTTTGATGGTCATATTCCCCTCAAAGGTCCTATACTATGTTTACATACAGTATTGCAACACACATATTATACCAAGGTAACATGACAGACATTCCTAACTGTGTTTATAACTTGTCTATCTACAGCTCATCTACTATATATTTGCTGTATTTGAAATGTACATAAAGGGCTTATTATTAAACTGTATTACAAAATGCTACAAAAATGATGATGATAACGACTCTTATTGTTTTATTTTTATAATTTAGAGCATAATAATTGTTTTAAATATATACAATGTTGGAGAGTATTCAAACTTTCAATTTTAATTTAATTAAAAGAAGATATAATTGATAAAACGTGTAAAATAAGGAAACATCTCTTATCCATCAACTTGCAAAATATTAAACACACACTGTATGTCTGTATCTGGTAGAGCTTGTCCAATAAGCAGAATCTTATACTGTATAATTATACATAATGGAGTAATTTACATGTTTAATCCTTAGCTGAGTTCTCAGGAGTAATGAAATGTTAACAAAACTACAATTTGAACTGTGTCACAGCCTGTAAGCTGAACTGTGATTGGTTCCTTCCGAAACAGAACAGGGTTTAAATTCTGCCCTTCTCAGATAACTCCAATGCAAGCAGAAGAGCATAAGAGACTCTAAATCTATTTTATTTATTTTATGTAAACCCTCATTGATCGGTTTCCTGCTCTCGGACAGGCTTCGTATTCAACAAGGCAAGGTAATTATACTGATCAGAAACCTTATGATTCACCTTCATGGTAACAGCTTTGGTTTTGTCATAAAGTATACTGAAACCATTAAGTTATGATATTAAAATTATTTCAAGTGTCTATCGCACACATACTGTACATATGGCTTGAGTTAAACTAATTTGTTTTCAAAAGTCTAAATGTTTAAGTTAGTTCTGTAATTTCTTACTGTAAAATGTTTTATTTTAAACGAACAAGAAACCTGGCCAACAAGAAAGTACAATTCTTAGCTTTTAGTTTTATACACATGCATGGCCAGTATTATTATTTCTGTACTCAAAATCTTACCACCCTTACCAGAAGAAAATGACACTTAATCAGGATCACAATGTTTTTCTTTTCAGGTGCAATTTTGCAGGATGAAGATTGCGTTATTGGTCCTGTGCTTTCTGGGCACATCGCTGGCCTTTCCAGTAAGTCTCACAATTGGTTATCCTTAGGTCATCTTTGTGAAACAATTTCTAAACAAGCTAACATATTAATCAATGAGGATGGGGTAAATAACAAAACAACTGAGCATCTGTCTATATAACACGCATACAAATAAGTGTTAAGGGATATCCTTTAGACCTGGAAACAAATCAATCAATTACAAGACAGGAATGGGCACTGGCTCAGGAGAGAAGAATGTTATACAGTGTTTACTGATGCTCACAGCCTTGTTTGAGGGGTAAAATATTTTTAGATTCTAAAACAATGCAATCTAATCTATATACTGTATATACCTGTATATATTTATATACTTACCCCCACCACATGTGTTCCTAAAGTATATTAGGAACACTTACTAAGAAAATTAGAGGTTCACACCTCTATCTCTTTTCCTTGCCAGACATTAGTGTAAACCTACATATGTTCTATTCAATATTATGTTGTTTACTATGCTCACTGCTTATATCATTGAGCTGCATACTTGGGACAGGCTTCCAAGCAATAATTGGAATAGTAGTTTGCAATAATTTACACTTATAATTTATAATTTGAACAGGCATCTCAAACTGAAAGGTTTATGCAATAAAATGTGCTTCTTCACAGATCAGTCTGAGAATTCTTGAATTCTTTTCAGTGTTTTTTAGAACAGTAGGAACCATGGTTTTGAGCGTAGAGCTTCACACGGAAATGTCAAATAATTTTTCAAATATGCAAATCACAGTGTGTGGTGTAATCTCCTTTAAGTGTCAAAAAGAAGCCAAAACATCCTTCAAGTTTTATTAGCACTATAAGCATTTGGTAAATATGTCTGGATGACATACTGTAATTGGCAAAAGCATTACTTTTTGAAAACTAACTCTTTTTATGTTTAACAGATTGTTCCTGGTGCTTTTAGTGATAGTCATGAGGTAAACCTTGAAACTCTTTTTCATGCTAGTAACCCATTCTAAATTCCCAAATATCACTTATTTAAATGGAAAATACCTTTATATGGATAGAGCAATCAAATCTACAGAATTTATGCCTAAATCAACGCATTGCAGATGCTAAAGCTATCCGTAGCTATTAGCATTCTTTAAGAAGAAACATTACACATGCAATTTAAATGCTGGGTGGATTCGTGTTTTAACTGCAATTAAGGGGCTCCCCATTTTTGGCACACCACATTTTCCAGAGTGATGAAAGAAAGATTTCTTCTGCAGGCAAAGATGCAGCAATACAGATGGTACGGAGCACCTCAGCAACAGAGACAAGTGAGTACTTTCTCTGAGAGTGAGTAAGATACGGGAGAGTATTGTGGGAATGTCTTATGTGTATTGTGTAGTGTGGTGTGTGTCCTTGGGAAAAGCGTAGAAGTGGGTGGAGCTGATATGTTATGGGATCAAGTCCCTGCTCCAGACTCTGCTGTTGTACCCTTAAGCGAGGTACTTTATTCCAGTTGCTCCTACCCACCCAGCTTCTAAGTGAGAACCAGCATTGTTTGAGGTAGATATTCTGATGGACCGGAATCCCATTCAAGAGATGACTCATTCGCTCCCAGTGTGCTTAACACTACAGTAACTAGTTTAACCTCAGATTCAATGAATCACTGTACTCTAGTATGGACCAGATATGATATAGGTCCCAAATATGGACCATTATGGACTATTGTGCCGTTAATGTTTTAATTTATTTATTTTTCTACTTAAAATACATATGTGTTACAAATGCAAAGCCTACCACTAGCTTATGATAGAATAATTTTGAAATGCTGAACATAAAATATTTTATTTTACATGCTCTCACTTTTGTACAATACCAACACATCCTGGAGAAATATACAGAGGGACACTAAAAATAAACAAATGTGTCTAGGAAACAATGGCATTTGTTGTACGTATTATATCTATCAGTACATATCTATTAAGTAAAATCTGTTAAATGGCCTTGCCAAAGTAACAAAGTCTCTACTTCCTTAGAAGAATAAGAAGATTTTAGAATAAAATTTAAAACGTTCCTCCAATTGTGTGGATTTCAGTAACCCCACACCCCAAATATGTCTCTATTTTAATGAAATTTCATTTGGTATTGCATTTTAACAGTGACTTTCCTTTAATGAAATCAATCTGTTCTTTGACATGGGTCAGCAGGTCTACAACCCTGGAGATATTGTCAATATTGTTTTTAAAAGATCATATCACCACAAAAGCTTGTGAACACCCATTATCTTTAGGTACAGGGGATTAAATGAGGACACAAAAAAGAACCATTCTGTACTTCACAATAGAAAGATATTACAAGAAATATTTTATCTTTTATCTCACCACACAGTGACATACTTACTGTAGATCACAGCAAGCTTGCCCTCGTTTCTCGTCGCAGATTATGCAGCTCGCTGCTCAGCACATTCGATTTGAACTTTTGTCAACTCCAAACACTGCTCTGCTGTTTTATTGCATTTCACTCTCCCGTGTATCCGAAGCCTCGCTTGCCAGGCTTGCTTGTTTTTTTTTTGTTCGGCAGACTGGAAAGGACACAGAGTGTGGGCATTGGCGGCAGTTGTGTCAGTACGAAAGTCCGTCAGCAGTGTCGGACGGGGCGGGGCGGGTACTGCTGCACGCCTTGTCCGTGTCGATCTACAGTAGATTGCTCCTGCTCAAGCTCCGGCTTCACAGTGTTATAAATATTGCAGATTTACCAAACCTCCCTGCCTGCACATCCATGGCTACAAGTTCTGTCACAGAAACGGGTCGCACAGCCCAGCCTACCGCAGCTGAAACAGCCCCTTTTGCAGCAGCCACCTCTGAAACAATTCTTCCGATCTCAGCCATATCTGCATGTGCCTCAGCATCCACAGGTAGAATCTGATTTGTGACAAAGAGCCCAGGTTGAGAAACAGTAGCTCTTACTTCATACTCTAGTTTTATTATTATTATTATTTTTATTATTTAAACATTAATGGCAGCAGTGATTCTTCTTTCACCATTAATGGTGACAGTGTAGTACTCCTCCTAATATCTTAGGATTTCATTGCTAATAACAAAGTCTCAGGCATGTTTTCCAAGCTTTGTAAACAGCTGGTGTTTCATTGCACTGACGAATTAAGAACCTCATTTGAAACACAAAGTCAGTGCACAGCATCTAAACAAAGCAGTTTAACCATTTCACTGCTCCTTTAGAAAGGAGTTTCAGAATATACAAAACGGCAATTGTATATTGCTGTGTGATCAGTTTTCTTGGAGGTTATTTCCATCTAAATTAGAATGAAAAAAAATGGAAACAAACATTCAAAACTGTTCTACGACCATAGCTAACTGAAATTGTTTACTGTAACAGTAAGCTTTGAAACACACCCTGAGCACAAATTAGATGTTAAGATATACTTTTATTAAGAACCTAAGAAGGGCTTACACATCATAAAGAACACGAGCTCAGCACGAGAATCATTTTGCATGTCCTGAATTTCTGCTATCTCAGCTATGTCTCAGCAACTTTGTGTCTGCATCCTGCCTAAAGCTCGCTTTGCAAATGCTTTATTTTTTTTCTTAGCCCTACAGTGGAAAGGTACTTGTTCAAATTGCAAGGTTTGGTAAGAGAATATTTCATCCAAACAAGTGATTTATTATTTGAAAATGCTCTCTGCCCCAGGCATCGTATTTTTTTCAAATGTGCCAACTTAACATTTGTTTTCTATATTATCCAATTATCGCTGCTTTGCATATTAACACAGCACTAGTGTAGAGTAGCTTTAGACCTCATTTCCATGGACAGCAGTACATGAATAATTCCTGTTTTCCAGCAACAATATCCATTTGGAATTTCTCCACAGCAATGGGTAAGCAGTTAAATGTCCTACAGGAGCTACGTTTTCACTAAGTTCCAAGTGTTGTTTTAATCTCATTAACAAACACGATCAAGCAATATTTACTGAACGTAACACATCTTTACTAACATCACTAGTCCTTTTATTCCGCATAAAAGACTCCCTGGGAATATTTGATTTCTGGTACCGCTCTGTTTTAGCCTTGTTTTTAAGTTGCTCCCCCCATCATTATGCTTTTCTAAGCGTTGACTTATCTGTCACACAGGGAATTCCCTCATACGGAAATGCGCCTCAGATGATGCCAGTAAGTCCCTGCCTCAGCACAGTTTCCCATTTACTCTAGGAGCGTGCTTTCTCCAATGTTTAATTCACTCTTTCCCTCATTCCTCAGTTCTTCCCATTCGGATTCCCACAACGTCAAGCGGCTGTGCAGAGCTTCGAGGTGAGAGCCCTGTGGTCCTTACGATCCCCACTTTCCTCCTTAACACCCCCCCACCGGACTCGGTTTCTCGTCCCAGCACCTCATCCCTGATCTATAACCTTCAATACAGGAAGAAGACTCGCCCCGTCAACCAAGACCACAGGCACCCCCGCAGCAGACCCCTCAGGTTACGACAGCTTTACTCAGTTGCTTGCCAGTGTAAAATTGACGGGATAAGGTTTTTGCACCAAAAAATAAAAAAAGAGAAATCTCAGGGTTTTCTGAGATTCGGCCATAAACGGATACCACTTCAAAAGCTTGACTAGAACTCCGGCCGAGTATAGGAGTCCTCCCTGTCACTTGCACTCTGTCTGCGCTCACTCTGCATGCAGTAGTTGGGATATGAAGCTTGCAGGAGGCTTAGAGTCTAAGAGGTGTAAACAGTAGCCCTGCCCTTAATAAACTGTGCCTGGTTTCATCTTTACACTGTCTCTGATGCAATCAAGACAGAAGGGGTCTCATTCCCAATGCGAATGTTTTTTTTTTTTCCCTCTGCTGTTAACTCACATTGCTGTTACAATAGATACAATATATGAGCACGCAGAAGTAGCTCCATACTTACGATGAGTTATTTCGACATGTATTTTGACAATGCTTTAAAATAGGGCATCGAAGCTTTCAACAGCGTATCGAACTAATTGTACTCACAGGCAGACCAATAGCTAGATACAGAAGTAGATACATAGATATATACATAGACTAACATAGATAATCAATATTTCAGTCTTCCTGTTGCTTATAGCCTGTGTTCACCATATCCACTACAGATGTTCCCTCCATTTGGAAATGTGCCCCAGATGATACCGCAGGTCCCTGTTCAGAAGAGTCCAAATGTAAGGCACTCTCTCCAAAATAGATTTTTTTCAGTTTCACACAGCAAGTCTCCAGATCCAGGCCTGACATGTATTATCTCTTCAGGGAGTTCCCACTAGTGGAAATGTGCCACAGGAGCAACCACAGAGACCCGGTCTGCAAGGTCCTCCGGTAAGGGTATCCATTCCTCCTCTACTGCTTCAGTCTTAACCATTTCTGTTTCGCTGTAATAAGTCATGTTTTGCTTTAACGCTTATTTTTGCTCAGGAACATTCTCCCATCCCCAATGTCCCTCAGCTCCCAGAACAGCCAAATCAAAATGTAAGTAAATTCATTTGATATATAAATACTAAATCCCACAGTGAAGTACTGATGGAGTGTGAACTTGCTTCATATCTAGGACCCTAGTGCCCCGCGCTTGAAGAGACTCTAAAAGCAAAGCTGTAATGAAAGATTGTAATGAAATGTTTCCTTTCACACAGGAGAGCCCTATCCTTGATAAAAGGCCACAAGCAACAACACCGAAGCCTGCAGAGTCACATCCCAATGTACATATCTTGCGAGCCTGTTTGTATTATTTGTTCTAATACTGTCAAACTGCAGTATGAATAACGTCAACCTTGCCTCCTTCCAGATGAAGCCATCCTACGGTAAAGTGCCACCGAAGAGGCCTCAGCAGCCCCCCCAACAACCTCGTACCGAAGTACTTGTGGCGCCTTCATCCTTTTGCCTTAAAACTGCGATTTCTTTATGTTACCGCTTTTTCTCTCGGTGCTGACCTTCCTATTTCGGCCAACAGGTCAGTCCTCCTCACGGTACCGCACCGGAGACACAGTCCCAGCAGCCTCGCCCCGAGGTAGTTGCCTCGCCACGCCCTGCTCGTTAAAAAATTCCAACATCTTTTCCGAGCTGTTTTTGCTTCCTTTCCTTAGCGCTAACTAAGTCTTCTCCCACAGTCCAGACCTTCTTACGGCCCGGCTCCTGAGTCAAAGCCTCAACAGCCTCGCTGGGAGGTAGCTGCGGCCCTGATTTCTATTTTTTCAATCTCGAATTTCCTAAAATATGCTTCCCCCCCCCCTCTTTGTGCTGACTTGTGTTTTTGTTTCACAGTTCAATCCCTATGGCAACGCTCCGGAGATGAAGCCACAACCTCGCCCTGAGGTAGCTGCTGTTCTAGCTTCGGCTCATTTGACTCGACCGATTCTCAAGATCGGCAGTGTTTTGTTTTTTTTTTTCCTCGAGGCTGACGGTTGTTTTATTTCCACAGTTCAGACCTCCTTTTGGTTCTGTCCCAGAGACAAGGCCTCAGCCACCTCGTCCTGAGGTAGTGGCAGCTCTTCATCCTGTCGCTTAAAACTGACGCCTTCTTAATATATTACGCTTACCCCCCTCTGGTCTTAACTTGTTTTTTCTGTTCCATAGTTCAATCCTTATGGTAACGTTCCTGAGACAAGACCACAGCCTCGCCTGGAGGTAGTTTCCTGTTTATGGGCCTACTTTGCAGACCTAAAGTTATTTTAATCTACATTTTATTTCTGTTACTGACATATTTTTTTGTCCTGCAGTTCAGACCTCCTTTTGGTCCTGTCCCAGAAACAAGGCCTCAACAGCCTCGACCTGAGGTAGTGGAGCTCCTGTGTTCGTTTCCTATGTACCTTTTCTGCAAAATATACTTTTTTTCCTCCTTACCGACTTGTTTTTCACCCCACAGTTCAATCCTTATGGTAGTATCCCAGAGTCAAGACCTCAGCAGCCTCGCCCTGAGGTAGCTGCTCCTCTAACCTTTGATTCATTTGGCTTCTGCCGTTCTTAAAATTCATGACTGTTCTCTCCAAACTGACATATATATTTTTTTTATTTCACAGTTCAGACCTTCTTATGGCTCTGTCCCAGAGACAAGGCCTCAGCCGCCTCACCCTGAGGTAGTTGTGGAACTTCGTTGTGTTCGTTCCTAAATCTCGGTTTCTTAAAATGTACGTGGCTTTTTCCAAACCAATTTGTTTTGTTTTTTCTCAACAGTTCAATCCTTATGGTAATGTCCCTCAGGCAAGGCCTCAGCTTCGTCCAGAGGTAGGTGCTGGCCTGCTTTCATTTTATATTCATTAATCAAAAAGCTTTTTAAAATATATTTTTTCCCTATAACGAGACTTATTTTATTCACATTTAGTTTGGTCCTTCATATGGTGAACCACAATCAAGGCCTCAACAGCCACTACCACCAAGCCAAGATGTAAGCCCCATTTCTTGCAGTCCTTTAACTTTTAAACTTAAAAACTTTTGGTTTTTTATTATAAATAGTAAAAAAAATAGTAAAATAAATGCCAGAAATTGAGCACAGTACTGCTTCTAGTAACAGAATTCTGCATAGCACATAGTGCTGTTATCTGTTCTTATTACTGTATCTTAAGCATGAATTCTGAATTATACAGTACCTTTAAAATTAATTTGTAACTAACATATTTTCTCAGATTCTCTCTTTAATTAAGTTAAACAGGTCTGGGGACTAAACGGCAAGAGGAGAATGGTGTCCTGAAAGTTGCATGGGTAAACATGGGAAAAAGGAATACAGTGCTGAGATATCTCATGTCTGAATCTCACACAGGTTTATCCTTCAAACGGCAACATCCCTCACATGAGACAAGACCCCCCACAGCAGCCCAGCCCAGATGTAAGCAACAAACAGCTCCGCCGCTCTGTGTGACTCTAGTGTGACTCCAGGTGCTACAGATCTCTACAGTTTTGGCAGTAACAAACATTCTCCTCCACAGATTGTTCCCTCTTGGCCCAACTCAGGTCTGGCGAGACGAACGCCGCAGCAGCCACAGTTCATTCCAAATGTATGTTGTTTTCTTTCCATGGCTATCTTTTCTCATTAGCGTTTCTACAACCCTTTCCCCCTCCATGTTTATAAGCTCTCTGCACCATATCGTACAGTGGAAAGCTGCAAAAGCCCGAATGCTGTTGTAGAGCGTTCTTTTTTTCGATGGCCCACTGCGCAGGTCACAGGTGTTACACAGGTGAAAACCTGGGGAGGGCGTTCTGCCCAACCAAGCCCGCCTTTTTCAATCACCGGGACCCCTGCCTTTTAGTCAGGCTTTCGTTTTTTACATGGTGTCAAAGTAAAATGACCAATGGTTATGTTTTGCACAGGTAAGACCATCCTACAGTAACGCACCCCAGCCCAGAACTCAGCAGCCAAGCCAAGATGTATGTTGTGAACTGCAGATCCTGCCTTAAACTGATCATTATAATTTCACTGTTGTCCATGCTGAATATGTCTAATGATTTATGTTTGTGACTCAGGTTGTCCCTCAATATGTCCCCATACCTCAGGCCAAGCCCCAGCCACCTATGCACCCAAGTCCCGAGGTAGGTTAATCATTTAAAACGCTTCCTTAGAGACTAAGAGCCAGATGTATTCAGGATACATTTAAGGATTCAAACTGTAAAAACCCCTTTAGCTTCTCCCCATTTATCTCAATCCTCTTTCCTAGGGTTTAGCACCTAAGCTGGAGAAAGCAGTTTAAAAACGAACTACATTAAAAAAATCTCTTGGTTTGAAAAAAACAGGTGAATCCAGCCATTGGAAATACACCCAGGCAGACACAGTACCCAAGACAGCAGCAACCACCACAGGTGTGTTCAGTGTGATATACATGAACTTTACTATCATGGATTTTTTTTTTGTTACAGCTGTAGCTATCCTTGGAATGGAGTTGCTATTTTTATAATAATAGTTACTGCTTATTGATAACAGCCAAGATTCCCATTTCTTGAAGACTTTGTAATTAACTAAGTAAGCAAGCCACAGGTTAAGCACAGTTTATGAAAGGGTATGAGCTCTTATAGTTCCACAAGTTCTGAGTGAGGTCATCAAAAGTATCTTCTGGCTTCCTTAATGGATCGCGTTTAGCACAACAGACGACAAACTGGAGCTTAGCGGTGTCTTGGGTATTTCTCTCTTGTACATGAATCCTAAAGAAAGACAATTTGTTTGCTTTACAGCTCCCTCCCTTCGCATTTCAGCCACAGGCAGGACAGCAGCAGGTGAGTCAGT